GACAGATGAATGGATGAAGATGTGGTATACACACACACACACACACACACACACTGGAATATTACGCAGCCATCAAAAACTGAAATCTTGCCATTTGCAACAACGTGGATGGAACTAGAGGGTATTATACTAAGCGAAATAAGTCAATCTGAAAAAGACAATTATCGTATGATCTTACTGATATGTGGAATTTAAGAAACAAGGCAGAGGATCATAGGGGAAGAGAGGAAAAAATGAAACAAGATGAAACCAGAGAGGGAGACAAACCATAAGAGACTCTTACTCATAGGAAACAAACTGAGGGTTGCTGGAGGGGAGGGGGTGGAAGGATGAGGTAAATGGGTGATGGACACTGGGGAGGGTATGTGTGGTAATGACCACTGGGTATTATATAAGATTGATGAATCACAGACCTGACCTCTTAAACCAATAATACATGGGGCGCCTGGGTGGCTCAGTCGTTAAGCATCTGCCTTCGGCTCAGGTCATGATCCCGGGGTCCTGGGATCGTGCCCCGCACGGCTTACTGCTCGGCGGGAAGCGTGCTTCTCCCTCTCACACTCTTCCTGCTTGTGTTCCCTCTCTTGCTGTCTCTCTCTCTGTCAAATAAACCAATAATACATTATAGGTTAATTAATTCAATTTAAATTAAAAAAATAATAAATCGTAGATCTTTTTATAAGAAAAAGAAAAAGAAATGAGCTCCCAAGCCACAAAAGACATGGAGGAACCTTAAATGCATATTGCTAAGTGAAAGAAGCCAGTCTGAGAAAGTGACATACTATATGATTCCATGGAGACAGTAAAATGATTAGTAGTTGCTAGGAGTCAGGGCCAGGGCCTGAGTGATGGAGGATCAATAGGTGGATCACGGGATTTTTAGAGCAGTGAAATTATGATTCTGTGGAATACAGTAATGGTAGATATATGGCATACATTTGTCAAAACTCAGAATATACAACACAAAGAGTGACCTGGGATTTTAGTAAATAATATTATATCAATATTGGCTGGCTCATCAGCTGTAACAAATGGACCACACTAATGCAAGATGTTAATAATAGGGTGTATTGTGGAGAGGCAGGGAAGGGTGTTTGGTAGTTCCCCGTACTTCTTACTCAGTTTTTTTATGTAAACCTAATACTGCTAAAAGAAAAAGTCCATTAAGTTTTTCAAAAATCCCCTTTAAGGGGCGCCTGGGTAGCTCAGTCGTTAAGCGTCTGCCTTCGCCTCAGGTCATGATCTCAGGGTCCTGGGATCAAGCCCTGCATTGGGCTTCCTGCTCAGTGGGGAGTCTGCTTCTCCCTCTCCTACTCCCCCTGATTGTTTTCCTGCTCTTGCTCTCTCTGTCAAATAAATAAATAAAATCTTTAAAATATATATATATATAAATTTTTTTAAAATCCCCTTTAACTGTTTTTAGTGGGATTTCAGGAAGGAGTAGACTAAATGTGTGTGCTCAATTGCTGTGTTACATAGGAAGTTCTAGAAATACTGGAAATACTTTTTCTTCTTAAGATTAGTGTAAGAAATAAAATAAACAACTTGCTTTCACACATTATCTAATAATCTAGCCTTGAATTTTATAGATAACTACTTATCATTAAGTAACTTTAAAATAAGTTTCGCTACTGGGCGCCTGGGTGGCTCAGTCGTTAAGCGTCTGCCTTCGGCTCAGGTCATGATCCCAGGATCCTGGGATCGAGTCCCACATTGGGCTCCCTGCTCGGCGGGAAGCCTGCTTCTCCCTCCCCCACTCCCCCTGCTTACGTTCCCTCTCTCACTGTGTCTCTCTCTGTCAAATAAATAAATAAAATCTTTAAAAAAAAATAATAAGTTTCGCTACTTTAATGATTATTTGAGCAGTTGCTCTATATAATACAATTATTAACTCATTAAAAGAATTAGCACAGAAATGATTCTGTCTTTTAGCGTGATATTTTATTGTTACTGAGTGTAATGTACCATTTTAAATCTTCCCAGAACAAATGAATAGCTGTTTTCTTCCAGAGAATATAACCAATTTTTTAACCAATAGGTATCTTAAGGATCATGGCAGCAACAATTGATATAGTGAAAAATAACATAAAAAAGAATAGATATGATAAAATAACACAGAGGACTAAATAAAGGTTAATATGAATATTAAGCTATTTGTTCATCTTCCTCTTTCTACTTTTGCTGGGCTTTTAGGATGGAGGAATTCCTCCTGCATAAGAGTCTATCCCACTGGTAAGCTCTCTGTAGTTTCATCCTTTTTGGGTCCAGTTAAATTTCCCCAGGCCATATCTCTTTCTACTGTAATCCATCTTACATCCCACCATAAGATTATTTCTAATTTATATTACAATTTTTATTTGTGGTAAAATATGCATAACATAAAATTTACCATCTTAACGATTTTTAAGTGTATAGTTAAGTAGTATTAAGTATATTTGTGCAACAATCTCCAGAAATTTTTCATCTTGCAAAACTAAAACTCCATACCCATTAAACAACAACTCCCTATTCCCCTGTCCTCCTAACCCCTGGCAACTACCATTCTAATTTTTGTTTCTATGAGTTTGAATACTCTAGATACTTCATATAAGCAGACTCATACAATATTTCTCTTTTAGTGACTGGCTTGTTTCACTTAGCATAATGTCTTCAAGGTTCACTCATGTTGTAGCATGTGCCAGAATTTCCTTCCTTTTTAAGGCTGCATAATATTCCATTCTTGGTATACTACCACAATTTGGTTATCCATTCCATCGGTGGCCATTTAGGTGGTTTTTACCTTTTTTGTGGGGGGAGAGAGGGAGAGAGAGAGAGAGAGAATCTTAAGCAGGTTTCGCACCCAGCATGGAAGAACAAAACAAAAGCAAATAGCTCAAATTGCTTATGACTTACTATCTAAAGATTTTTTTCTGACTAATATGAGCTTTCTATGGGCTTAAGACTGTTCCCAGATCTTATTTTATGTTGTGGCTATTTTCTAGAATTTTTTGGCCTTTTGGCTATTGCCCTAGAACTTTGAAGGCATATAAAACATGGATAAACTGGTGGCTAGCCTTTCAGGTAGCTAGGTGACTAATTTCAGTGGGAGGGCAGGTGACTAGATAGGTGAGTTGATAAGTATGAGATAGATGTGTTTGTAACCTGTTTCAAAGCATGACACTAGCTGGGTAAGTGTGCCTCAGAGATAGAGAGGCCTCCATTGCAGTCCTGCTTTGCCCCTACCACCTTGCTTCCTTTAGACAAGAACTTCATAGTAGTTATCACAGTCCTTTATACGAGCACTTTTTATAACCTGTAATTATATTAATTGTTAAATTTCTGCCTTCCCCATCGGACGACAGGTCCAATGAAGGTAAAGACTATTTTTTTCACCACTGTATCTCCAATGTCAGTGTCTCACTGTGGCTGGCACCTAGTAAGTGCTCAATAAATGTTTACTTAAGAAATGATAGACTGACCAGAGTTGAAATGACAGTGAATATTTGCTATACTAAATATGGCAAATTGAAATACTTGGAATCATAAAGGGTTTAGAAAAGTAGCAAGAGGGAGGGGCGCAAGTTTCAAGGCAGGCATGCTAGTATCCATGTAAACTGCTTATCTTCGACAGGTGGTGCAGGATCTCATGACCTTGCTTCAAGGCAGCAAAAACTGTCTTCAGAAAGATGAATAATGAAAAGATCTGTACCTGGTCAGTGGCAGTTTGTCACTTTCTAGCCTACCATGAAAAACACTTCTAAGAGCTTTATCTTTTTTCCTTTTTGAAAGATACATATGTTCACTGTTAGAACACAGAAGTGTATATATGTTAATTTATTTATTTCACTTTTTAAACTCATCTTGGCAAAAACTTTGACCAAAACAGAAAAGAGCACCCAATAAATTGCTTTCTAAGAAATTTGTTTAATGTACTTGTAAAGAAATTTAGCAAATTCCTAAAGGTGACTTTTGAAGTTTGGGTTGTTCTCAGTTAAGCATTAACAAATAACATGGGCGCCTGGGTGGCTCAGTTGGTTAAGCGACTGCCTTCGGCTCAGGTCATGATCCTGGAGTCCCGGGATCGAGTCCCGCATCGGGCTCCCTGCTCGGCGGGGAGTCTGCTTCTCCCTCTGACCCTCCCCCCTCTCATGTGCTCCCTCTCTTTCATTCTCTCTGTCTCAAATAAATAAATAAATAAATTAAAAAAAAAAAAGCATTAACAAATAACAGTCATAGGACTGAAGATCTCTTAACTTTTTTTTTTTTTTAAAGATTTTTTATTTATTTATCTGAGAGAGAGAATGGGAGACAGAGAGCATGAGAGGGGGAGGATCAGAGGGAGAAGCAGACTCCCTGCCGAGCAGGGAGCCCGATGCGGGACTCGATCCCGGGACTCCAGGATCATGACCTGAGCCGAAGGCAGTCGCTTAACCAACTGAGCCACCCAGGCGTCCCTCTCTTAACTCTTTTTCTACTATGACTGAGTGGATGATTTAATCAGATAATGCTACCCAGGCCCTAAAAACCAAGTTTTAGATTTTCATAAGGAATCATATTCTTTAGTTATTTTTTCTTTATTCCACATGGTGGAAATTTCAGTTCACTCTTTGGCAGTCAGATTTATTTACCTAGCAATACCTTATACCAGAATTTTCTAAGTATTTAAAAAAATATCAGTTCCTTCTTTACAACGTGCCTATGACATTCAACAAGCATGCTTTCCATTTTTTTGACATGGAAATTAAAGCAAAGTGAGGTGTTTTACTATAGACCATACAATAGGTTCCTTCATTTGAGATCATTAAATTAACACACTGAAACAGCAGACCCAGCAGTTAGTCTTTCTGATGATTATCTTTCCATATGTGGTTTTCTCTGAAATTGGGCCCTAAGGAATTAAGAGAAAGTATCTCTATTCTGGAATGTAAAATTAAAATAGATTTCCAGTTATGTATGTTACACTCTGGCAGGTTTGGTGGCTTCCGATCTAGCTTACCTTTTTTTTTTCTTTTTCCACACAGATTGATAGAACTCCATTCTCCTGATAGCAGGAACACGCTGATCCTACGCTGCAAGGATACAGCCACAGCACATTCCTGGTTCGTAGCTCTCCACACCAACATAATGGCTCTCCTCCCACAGGTACTGGCTGAACTCAATGCCATGCTTGGTGCAACCAGGACGGCAGGAGGCAGCAAGGAGGTCAAGCACATTGCCTGGCTGGCAGAACAGGTAGGTTGAGAGGCAGGGCAAGGTCTCAGTGGTCACCATTCAGAGCCAAGGTGGTTCCCCCATTTCATGTATTTATAATATTTATCATGCAGTCAGGCCCTGGATATCTAGCTTGCAGATCTTTTGTTTGTTGGTTTTGTGTTTCTCCTCCCTACCATTTAGTTATTTGTTGCTAATTATCACCTCCACCAGAAGAACTGACTGTCATGATAGTCATCAACACAACATAACTAAAAAGAGATTCTTATTACCATCTCCGTCCTTAATGACAGAGAATAATTTTCATGATTTTAGAATAGGATCAGCAAACTTTTTCTGCAAAGGGCCAGATAGTGTCACAACTCCTTGACTGTGCAGTTGCAGCAAGAGAACAGTGGTAGACACTATGAAAATGGAGAGGTGTGGCCATGTGTCAATAAAACTTTATGTACAAAAACAGGTACTAGGCTGCATTTGGCCCATAGGTCATAGTTTCACAACCCCTGTTCTAGTCTACTGCCAGTTTCAGGGACAGAAAGCTTACTCTCCTGTTCTGGGAAAAGTATAAAACATGCAAAATATTTTACAAGCCATCAGCCAAATGTACAGTTGTCTTCCACCACTGAAAAATGAAAAGAGGAGAAACAAAACCTAAGTAGACATTGGTAAAAGGAAAGGACGAACTTACTCCAAGTTAGTTTGAATCCCATTTTGACAAAAGGGAAACTTTGAGTATACATGAAGTTATAGTACATCCTTTTTCTTTTGGGTCCTTCACTGTCAGCTGGGGCACCAGGAGTTGAAAAAGGAAGACTAGACTTAGGGTTCCAAGATGAGTGTTCAAGTGGTAGTTCTAGTTTCCACTGCTCTTAGATCTTTTTAAAGGTTCCTTCGTCTCTTTGAATCCTAGTTCCCTCATGTATGTCCAAGGGGGCAGGGATTGTGTCAGTATCAGCCCAGGAATATTTTGTTCTTTTGTTTTTGTTTTGTTTTAACTAGAGTTTGTGAGGTCTGGCCCCGCGCCCCCCCCCCCCCCCATGCCCCACCTCAGCAGAGTTCTGATTTGATAGATCTATGGTGGGGTCTGCAGTCTTGTTTGGTAACTCACCAGGAGATTGTGTGGAGACCAACATAGGACTCCACTAATCTGTATTTTCTTTTGAGCTCTGAAATTTTATAAATGTTCCAAGTAATAATTATAATAAATTAGAACACAGAATTAGCACTATGATAATTTGTAGGAAGCACAATTAGGATAACTAAGCAGAGAAGAAACTAATGAGAATCATGGTATATAAGTACTTATGACTTTGAAAGTTTTAGTATTTTAGTTATGTTTATCATTGTTTCTAAATTTTTTTAAGTTTTTTATTTTTTAATTTATTTGTTTTTAAAGATTTTATTTATTTGAGAGAGAGAGAGAGATCACAAGTAGGCAGACAGGCAGGCAGAGGGAGAGGGAGAAGCAGGCTCCCCGCTGAGCACAGAGCCCGACGTGGGGCTCAATCCCAGGACCCTGGGATCACGACCCGAGCCGAAGGCAGACGCCCAACCATCTGAGTCACCCAGGCGTCCCAAAGTTTTTTATTTTAATTCCAGCATAGATAACATACAGTGTTACAGTAGTTTCAGGTGTACGATATGGTGATTCAACAATTCTGTACTTTACTCAGTGCTTATCATGGTAAGCCTACTCTTTAAACCCCATCACCTATTTCACCCATCCCCCATCCACCTCCTTTCTGATAACTATCAGTTTGTTCTCAATAGTTAAGAATCTGTTTCTTGGAAAATTAATAACTATTCTTAAACTATTCCAAAAAAGAGAAAAGTAAGGAAAACTTCCAAATTCATTCTGTGAGACCAGCATTACCCTGATACCAAAACCAGATAAAGACACCACTAAAAAAGAGAACTATAGGCCAATATCCCTGATGAGCATAGATGAAAAATTCTCAAAAAAATGCTACCAAACCAAATTCAAAAATACATTAAAAAAAATCATTCATCTCAATCAAGTGGGATTTGTTCCTGGGTTACAAGTGTGCTTTTTTTTTTTTTTTGAAGATTTTATTTATTTATTTGACAGAGAGAGACACAGCGAGAGAGGGAACACAAGCAGGGGGAGTGGGAGAGGGAGAAGCAGGCTTCCCGCTGAGCAGGGAGCCCGATGCGGGGCTCGATCCCAGGACCCTGCCATCATGACCTGAACCGAAGGCAGACGCTTAACGACTGAGCCACCCAGGCGCCCCTACAAGTGTGCTTTGATTCACAAATCAATCAGTGTGGTACATTACGTCAGTAAGAGAAAGGATGAGAACCATATGATCATTTCAATAGATGCAGAAAAAGCATTTGATAATGTATAACATCCATTCATGATAAAATCCCCGACAAAGTAGGTTTAGAGGGAATATATCTCAACATAATAAAGGCTGGATATGAAAAACCTACAGGGAACATCATACTCAATGGATGTCCACTCTTACCACTTTTATTTAACACAGTACTAGAAATCCTAGCCACAGCAATCAGACAACAGAAAGAAATAAAAGAGATCTGAATTGGTGGGGAAGAAATAAAACTTTCACTATTTGCAGATGGCATGATATTCTATATAGAAAACCTAAAAGACTCCACCAAAAAACTGCTAGAACTCGTAAGTGAATTCAGTAAAATCCACAGGATACAAAATCAGTGTGCAGAAATCTGCTGCACTTCTATACACTAAAAATGAAGCAGCAGAAAGAGAAATTAAGAAAAAAATCCCATTTACAATTGCACCCAAAATAATAAGATATCTAGGAATAAACCTAACTAAAGAGGTGAAAGACCTGTACTCAGAAAACTATAAAACACTGATGAAAGAGATTGAAGATGACAAAGAAAGACATACCATGCTCGTGGCTTGGAAAAACAACTACTATTAAAATGTCTATACTACCCAAAACAATCTACACATTTAATGCAATCCCTATCAAAATACCAACAGCATTTCTCACAGAATTAGAACAAAAAATACTAAAATTCGTGTGGAACTGCAAAAGACTCTGGATAGCCAAAGCAATCTTGAGAAAGAAAGGGGAAGCTGGAGGTGTCACAATTCTAGACTTCAAGTTGTATTACAAAGCTGTAGTAATCAAAACAATATGGTACTGACACAAAAATAGATCAGTGGAACAGAATAGAAAATCCAGAAGTAAACCCACAATTATATGGTCAATTAATCTTCAACAAAGGAGGAAAGAATATCCAATGGGAAAAAGAATGTCTCTACAACAAATGGTGCTGGGAAAACTGGACAGCTATATGCAGAAGAATGAAACTGGACCACTTTTTTGCACCATACACAAAAATAAGTTCAAAATTGATTAAAGACCTGAATGTGAGGGACGCCGGGGTGCCTCAGTCGGTTAAGTGGCTGCCTTCGGCTTGGGTATTGGTCCCGGGGTCCTGGGATGGAGTCCTGCATCGGGCTCCCTGCTTAGCAGGGAGCCTGCTTCTCCCTCTGCCTGCCACTCCCCCTGCTTGTGCACTCTCTCTCTGACAAATAAATAAATAAAAATCTTTAAAAAAAAAAGACCTAAGTGTGAGACATGAAACCATAAAAGTCCTAAAAGAGAGCACAGGCAGTAATTTCTCTGACATCAACTGTAGTAACATCCTTCTAGATAGGTCTCCTGAGGAGAGGGAAATAAAAGCAAAAATAAATTATTGGGACTTCATCAAAATAAACTTCTGCACAGCAAAAGAAACAATCAACAAAACTAAAAGGCAGCCTGCTGAATGGGAGAAGATATTTGCAAATGACATATTCAATAAAGGGTTAGCCAAAATATATAAAGAACTTATACAGCTCAACTGCCCCCAAAAACACAAGAAACAAGTGTTGGGAGGATGTGGAGAAAAAGAAACCCTTGTGCACCATTGGTGGGAATGCAAACTGGTTCAACCACTGTGGAAAATAGTATGTAGATTCCTCATAAAATTAAAAATAGAGGGGCGCCTGGGTGGCTAGGTTAGTTAAGCGACTGCCTTCGGCTCAGATCATGATCCTGGAGTCCCAGGATCGAGTCCCGCATCGGGCTCCCTGCTCGGCAGGGAGTCTGCTTCTCCCTCTGACTCTCATGCTCTCTGTCTCTCATTCTCTCTCTCAAATAAATAAATAAAATCTTTAAAAAAAAAATTAAAAACAGAACTACCTTATGATCCAGCAATCACAGTACTGGGTATTTACCCAAAGAATATAAGAACACTAATTTGAAAGGTTACATGCACCCTTATGTTTATTGCAACATTATTTACAAGAGCCAAGAAACGAAAGCAGCCCAAGTGTCCAATGACTGATGAATGGATAAAGAAGATGTGGTATATATACACAATAGAATATTATTCAACCATAAAAAAGAATGACATCTTGATATTTGCAACAGTATGGATGGGGCTAGACAGTAAGATGCTAAGTGAAATAAGTCAGAGAAAAATACCATATGATTTCACTCATATGTAGAATTTAAGAAACAAACAAAAAAACAAACAAGCAAAGGGAAAATATAAGAGAGACAGAAACAAATCAAGAAACACACTCTTAACTATAGAGAACAAACTGATGGTTACCAGAGGGGAGATGGGTGGAGGGCTGGGTTGAGTGGGTGATGGGGATTAAGGAGTGCACTTGTGATGAGCACCAGATGATGTATGGAATTGTTGAATGATTATATTTTACACCTGAAACTAATGTAACACTATGTTAACTAACTGGAATTAAAATAGAATCTTAAAAAAATAAATTGCACTTTTTATCCTCAGGAAAAAAGTGTTTCTTGGTTTGCCTCTTTCCTTTGTTCATTTGTTTTATTTCTTAAATTCCACATATTCCACATATGAGTAAAATCATATGGTATTTGTCTTTCTCTGACTGACTTATTTCACTTAGCATTATACTTCAGTTCCATCCATGTTGCTGCAAATGGCGAGATTTCATTCTTTTTATGGCTGGATCATACTCCATTGTGTGTGTG